AGCATAGTGAGAGGTAACTACAAAGCAATCCATAGCTGTACTAATTACTCTTTGTAGGCAGGAAAACGTGTGATAAAATGCATGTTTTCTGATTCACTTCCCCTGGTTTACCCGCTTTGGTACTGTTAACCTGTAGCTTCTGATGGTCTTCTACAGCGCTCTGAAACCATATGAAAAAAACCTAAACAGACAATCACTGTACAATTTAAGGCACATAATTAGCAATTATTTCATGAGCACTTCACCATAATAATCTGTTACGTGCTAAGGGAAAGAAACATTAATGAGCTACTCCTGGTGCTGCTCTGTGTACTGTGTTTGCATAATAATGAGGTCCAATCTGCTGGAAAACACATAAAGGACAAATTAATAAGGTCGTCATTTTTGTCTAATGATGCTTAATACAGTTTTAGCAATCTGCTCAAGACAAAAGACGGTCACTCAGACATAGCCGATTATGCATTCGCGTGGCAGCTGAAATCTTTATGAAACAGAATGATGAATCTGATTAACATGCGATAACAAATATACAGTCTGCGAGAACGACTGCGCCACCTCCTGCAAGCATCCCTCACGTCGACTATTAAGGCTTTACTCAGATTGAGGTCAGACTGGTATTCCCGATAGGCGCATTAAGATCAAAGTTTGCCAAATGTGGTAACACGATGAACAAAACAATATCCTGTTATATAAAAGCTACTGTCTCACCAGCTGACTGTCTAATCAGTTATAGCAAAAATTCCTTAATAAGTTTAAAAATTTAATTGTCAAGAGTTTTGTTCACCTTTTAACGTATGAAAGGCAATTTGTAACATCAGCTAAAGTAGATCGTAAGGACCCTGAGTTTTCCACATTTATGGCACCAAAATATTTTCTCTAAGTTCCAAAGTACTGTCTTCTGTAAAGTTGCTGCTGTTTCACAAAGATGACTGCAAACAGGAATATACAATTATTTAGGGTATTTTAAGGAATATAAAAATAATATTAATTTATATGCCACTGATTTCACATAAAGTCTGAATAAGTTCATGGAGGTTTCTAGGTCAATGGCACACACATGATGTAATTGAATGTGTAGAGATGTAGCAGAAAATTTAAAAACCTAATTTGCAATATAAATGTATAATTGATTTGAAAAGTAGGTTAAAAAAAGATTTACAAAATATAATTTGTTAATCACACCTTAAATTTAAGTCATGAAAATACAGTGTTGCCTCTTTAAATGATTACCAAATCTAGAAGTAAATTAGAGATATTAAACCCAGTGATTCTATTTTAAGCTTGCCTTGCTACAGCAATGTGATTTTTATTAAATGAACAATTCCTTGCCTTCCAGAACCAACTGTACTTGATTTATAGACAGCACATGACACAAAGTAATTTAAGATGACATATGATACCTCCTGACAATGTACATGATTTAACACAGGGTAGGCAGCAGTATAAACTACAATGTTGATTTTATCTCTACAAATATATTGCTCAACAACAGCAGGATCTTGTATTCAAGGATATATAATTGGGAAATAAACTGACTTAATCACAGCTTCTTCACTTGAACGCGTATGTGTTTGCTCTGGTATATGATAGTATATAATAAATCAATTTTAAGCTCCCTTGACTCATTCTATATGTTTTCATTTACATTAATATATTCCAAATTACAGGAAAAAAACCCAAACCAAACCAAAACCCATGTTATTTAAAGCAAGGGGATGTTAAAGTGAAAGCTGTGTTTACCTCTACCACCACCACTCATCTCCAGTCCATTCTACCTTTTTAAATAAGTAACATTATTTTCACATACATACACACACACAAAAATAGTAGCTTCCTTCCTCACCCCCACAACTCTCACATTCAAGTCATCTGGCACATTAATCTGGTCATAAGACATACAGTTTGCCACAGATCCAAAGCAGAAATGCCAGTTCTGACAACTGTTTCACAAGTCTATTGAATATGATGGGATATTTTCTCCCCCCGAAAACAAAGACATGCATTAAGAGATTAGATGCCTCTCCACTGAAAGCCACTAGCTTTCAGAACGACTGTCCAAAGCCAGATGTGGTCTTTTTTAGCCTATGTTGCTCTTCCAAGCCTAGAAGTTTACCAAGATTTCTTTCTAGTGGATGAAAATACAATATAAGAAAAGAATAGGAGAGAAACTTCTTCAGAAAACCTGCAACAATTAACAGTGTCTTTCTAGCGAAAAGATATTACATCTACAGTAGGTTAAGCACATAACACTTGTTTATTTTACACTAATAAACCCACAACACTTGTAAACCTAATACCAGCTGATTACACATTTATACTTGATGCACCTGGTATGAAAGACAGCCAGTCCTCCCCTTCAAGTGCCTACCTAGCCAGCAGCATGAATAAAAGTGCTGACAGCGTTTGGTTTGCACAGCCAGTCAGGGGAAGCAACAAAGAAGTGGAACACAATGCTGCTGATTTCCTGGCAGTGATACAGAGCCCCTTATTTTAAATGTACAGAAAAAGATTGTTAAGAAGATAAAACAAAAAATCATTTCATTATACCTCAGACAATCCCATTATTTCATATTCTTTCAGTATAAATTCCCTCAATGTAACATTTTATTATCTTTGATACAAAATGAATGCTAAAATATCACGAAATCTTAGTAGTAGTGTTTGAAATACCAACATTCATGGCATAGAAACTTTGTTCCATCATCACACTGTCATACAGAGCACTTCAAACAGCTCGTAGAGTGGATAACAATGCACACAGGTCAACACGTAAGGACTGTATTCAATTTTTGATGGAAGTTTTAGTCTCAAAAATCTCTGATTAAATTCAATATTTATTATCACACTATAAATGAAGGAAAATTCAGGAAAGACACAGGTGTCCTAAGGTTACCTGCATAGCTCATTCAGGATGGAACCTCACCCTCTGTCTTTTAGAGTGCAGTAAATACACACATACCTTTCTTGTCCGGAATTCAAAGAGTTCTATTGAGAATTTAGTTTGCTAACACTGTTGGAAAGACAATACCTACAAAAAAACTCCTTCCTGTTGACTCCTTTAGACCTTGTCCGTGTTCATCCATCAGGGTCTGATTAACATTTTTGTTATTGCCACAAATAATATAAAAATACATGTCTGAAAATTCAAGTCTGACTGTATCACTTGTGCAAATTTGTTCTGTTCTGCTTTTCCTTTCATGAAAGACCTGGGTATCTGCTGCCTGTTCTCCTATCGCTTTTCATAAGACATAATACTATCGATACTGCATCAAATTAAGTATGGACAATTACAAATATATTAAGTGACCTGAACTCAGCTCTTAATTATAATTTGCAGTCTCTGTGGGAGAAATTAATCATAATAATAATCTAGATAAAATAAAAATTTGGTTGTACTTTTTACAGAAACAGTATTTTAGTATTTACCACACGAATCATTCAGTAATCGTTTCAATATACAAAATAAACTGATTTGACTTACCCATGACTGTACTTTATTATTGAAATTAGTAACCTCAGCTCCTATCAAAGGACATGGGGCAATCGACTGAATGACACAGCTCCTGCATTGTAAGTAACTTGTCAGAGAATATTCCTTCTCATTCCAAAGAGCATTTAAAGATAAACTGGCATTCAAGTCTTTCAAAAAGAAAGAAAAAGTGCTTTAGATAGGCATCAAGAGAGATTTTAAAACAGATAAAAGATCACAAGTCGTACTTCACATTTCAAAATAACGTTCTTATTTTGCCAGCAAGTAACACAGCAAAGAATGTTACTGTCTCTGCACTCGGTAACTTCTGAAATAGAGTCCTGGTGACAACAATCACATATTATTCATTGTGCCTCCTAACACCTGAATTGCCCACACATGAACAAAAGGAAGTACTTTACTTTTGATCTCTGCCACCTGAACGCTGCTAAAGGATTACACATTCCACAGTTTGACACCTGGAATCATTTCATATCAAATACATTGCTTCTGCAGAGCCCTCCTTTAACCACTGGGCCTGCAGGGTATATGCCTCCAATTCATGGATTTTGTTGTAAGAAATGTAAATTATTCTGTTCTCATTATCCTCATCTTTTCTTTTAGATCAGAATACTGATTAAGGAGTCATAATCCTTGTCAAGAGGACACAACAATACCAGTATCATTGAAAACTTTGATATTTTAAGAAAAAAAATGTCCCTAATTAAGCAAAAAGTTCCTTTCAACAAGCTATGAAAAGGAAGGATGCTCTTGAAGGAGAAAGCAAATGGCCAGAGCATTTAATTCATATCCAGTAAAGAACTGTTGGCTATCAGACTTCCTTCAAAGTACAGAAACTTTAGTAGGAGCAATGGAAAGGTGTGGAAGTTAATGAACAATGCAGACCTAATCACCACACTGTGACAATAAACAAAACACTGTGAAACAAAAATCACTCTTCAACAAAGATGCAATGAAGCAAGATGCTAAGAGATGAAGATCACAAAAAAAAAAGGAAATTAATTATTAATCAATAAGGGGGTAAAAATCAATGCCAAGACCTTATAGACACAGACAAGATAACAATGTTTGCAGCAACTACACTCAGCCAACTGCTAACAGAAAACAGGTAGAATGTGTGGTTTGTAACACTGTATTCAATGTCCCTTCCAAGGAGGAAATTTCCTAATAAGGGAACCATTATAAAAAAGCTTTAGTACAGCTTTGAACACACCATATAACAATTTAACAAAACACAGGTTATAGTCTTTTTGAAAGCTCATGTGTTTCTCTTGGCTTAAAAATGCTTTCCATTAAAAATATCTGTAAAATCTGTACAGTGCTATTCTGGAGAGTAAGAAGTAGTGGGGAAAAAGACTCATACTGGTCCTTTCCATGGGAGATTTCACATATAGATCAAGAGATAAAAACTTGTTAACATCAAAAGCATCTGCAGGAACTGAAAGAAATTGTGTTGTATTTAATTTAAGGCTAAAGGACTTGATAAATGTTAGGTGGTATTTATCAGTAATCAGTAAGATTTACCTTCACTTTTCACTGGCATCTGATACACCTTTAGAGTTTCTTTAAGATGACTAAGACTTGCAGCATCTGAGATGATCAACATCATATTATCATTTTCTGAAGTGGCATCTAGTTCACAATTACAATTATTAATGGGTACTTTACTTCTTACATTAGTGTTTCTGAAGAGTTTCCAGATTATTTTCAGTTCAATATTACTGTAGCAAGCTTTTCTCAAAATTCCTATAATTTAAAAAGTGGGGTGTAAGACTTATACCCATGGTTTTGAATATAGTACTGTTCAAACATCCTGCAAACTTTCCACATTACAAGATGGTAATTTAGGCCCTGATCCAATATCCACTGAAGTCAATGAAAAGACTTCTATTGATGTAAATGGACCTTGGAAGAAGGCCTTATTTAAATTTTCTAACGTGTCCAAAATTTACTTTTCAACAGATAATTTTCCCCTTGTTATTACTCCCAAATTGACCAGTGAGTTTGAATCCACTTTGAATAAAGTCATTTATTTTTCATTTTCTTCAAAATGGGGCAGATTTTTTAACTTTCATCAATCAACTGACATCTGAGATTATGTTTAAACCGCATAAAACTTCTTGCTGACAACGAACACCTCAGTAACTGTAGGCATCAAAATCCCTCAATGATTTGGAATGCTTTCAATTAATACTCAGGGATTTCACAGATTCTATACCAAATTGCAAAGATATGATGATTTGTAACTAGGTCATTACCACACGTGGCCCAATAGTCTGAAGATTTCATGCATTTTTTAAAGTAGCAGAGTTGTTATGACCATTTTCAGCTTTTAGACTTTCCCAAATTAAAGTGCCTCGCAAAAATGTAGAGACAATTTCCAAGAACATCTAATCCACATTTCATACAATGGGTCAACCAAGGACTAAAAAGTAAACTAACAACTCATTTATCTACTTTACCATATCCAATGGAGAACTTAACCAATTATTCTAAAACATGCCTCCAGTATCCAAAACTGTGGAAGTAAAAAAATTGATTAAAAATCCTCTAATTCCCAACCTGAAACAAATGACCAGCTACATAGATCTTACCCTCTGCTTTTGGCAGTATTTCAGCTCCACAGCCAATACAATAAAGTCCCTTCTTGCAAGGCTGGTGGTGTGTTTTCTTCTAACAAGGCAATATACAAATTCATGTAAATACTCATTTGCAATATAGTAACTATGCAGCTATGCGGATTGGAGCATTTAAACACAAAGAAATATAGTGAAACTGCTTCAGAGAAATACACTACTTGAAATACTCAAAGAAATCTATTTGAATCAATGTTTATAATTTACATTAGCTAATAATTCAAATATACATCATGCTAAAAATGCTTGACCTAACAAATAGAAGTGCTTCCATATAAAATATGAGGTATTTTATGGTCTGTAACACTCCAGGCTATCGAAGATTTAGTTGAGTCTGTACATTGTAAAGATCCAGAGCAAGCCATACATACCATGAAGATGCTATTTCATCTATATGTCATTGAAGAGATTATATGAGAAATAGTTCATATTTCCTTTGAACCTCAACACTCAACAGTAGCCACTTAAAACAGGTACTTTATTCTCTCTACATGGTACCTTTCTTTCACAGGTGGAGCCACTTTGCCTAACTGTTGCTTTTCTTCGTCTGCATTGTCTCTGAACTTTCAAACCTTTAATAAATTAAAGGTTTCGTTATTATTTTAGACATAAGAGATTATATCTAGCTATTATATCAAAGTAAGAGAGGATTTTTCAATAATGTAGCTTTTATAGATTTGGGAAGTCCAAACAAATAATTCCAGGAAAGTTGGTACGTTCACTTCACTTCCCTTCTATTTGCAGGCTGGGCAGCAGGGTATTTAATTTCATATTGGGAATCACCATAAATATATTAACTATAGAAATAAAAAATACTCTTATCAATAACATATTAAATACCATTCTTAGGTAGATATAAAGACAAATTAAGATTGAATTTATACAGCTTTTACACCAAAAGAAACTGTCCACCCCTTACCCCCCAAAACCAGCAGTAATACAAAGGATTATTATCCATCAGTTGTTCCAAGCACCACTGCTACAGTCAGGATTTGAGTCTGGTGAATTTGTGGATAGAGACTTTTCAAGAGAAATCTAGTATCTAGCAAACCTAATGCTGATATTTCAATACATATTTTAAAAAATAATGGTTAAGCAGTACTCTTAGATAAAAAGTAGATCTTCTAAACTAATGAAAACTATCTGTCATGAAGAAGGCCACGTCTTAAAGGATTTCTAATCAAAGTAAGATGCAACACAAGGTCAAGAAAGGGACAATCTGCTCCAGATAAGGAAAGGAAGGTGGATTTTCTTTTTTTTTTTTTTTTTAATGTTACGGATTTAAAGACAGACAAATCTTCTGAAAGACAGACAGGGGATAGTGGTCTCTGAGATGAGCAGACAAGCCACAAAGCTTAAGTGATTTCTATTGTTTATTTAGATGTACAAAACCATAAAAAGTGGTTTGGTACAGAAGACTTGTTTTAAGAAAACTGAGTTATTAGAGACTCATGAGGATCAAGCTGATCAACTCTTGGGGGTGTAGCTGCAAAGCCACCTGCCACAGCTGCCTCAGCATTTGCTGTGGGTTAGGGGACAGTTCTAGTCCAGAGGCAGTTACAAACAGAACCATGCCTGCCCTACTAAATCCCGACATTCAATCAACTACTTAAATCTAAATCAAGTATTTTTATCTTTAGATGTGTCATATGTTTAAATTGATGTCAATATTAGAGCTTCTGCCCTATCAACTAGTTCAAAGCCATCAGCATCCAACAATTAAGCGAATACCAGGAAATCTAAACCAAGAAAACATGATCCTTACGTGGCATCAATATAACAAAAAGTTTCACCAGATGTCTTATAGCAAGATAAAGCTTGTTAAAGAAATTTAAAATCCATTCTTGCCAACAGAGCATCTAATTCTATAAAGATGCATTTATTGTGTAAAGAAAGGATGCAGTTTAAATCCTACCAATAGAAACACTTCCACAGCTCTGTAGAGGTGGACATCAGAATGTTATTTAGATGAATTTCTATGGAAAATGACCTGTTAATAATTTCCTCTCTACTCTCAATCAAAATATATAAAAAACCTATGAACCAATCTTAAGACTGTAAAAAGCCTGCACCTTCATAATAATGTATGATGGAAATGAACAATCTTTTCTTGAAATACTATGTTTTATTATAGCAAAATCCTGGCTATTTTGATGGCAATAAAATAAATAAATGTTTAAAATACGTCAAAAAAGCAGACTGAGGAAGATTTAAAGATCTTTATATACAAATTTACATGGTTATATATTGCATGGAAAATGTGTTTGTAGGACATACAAATGAGTACATGTTTTGGTATGAATACGTACAGAATCTGACCAAAAGAAATTAGATCCTCCCACAAAAGAAAATTTTAAAGAAACCTCAACTTTTATATAAAACAAATAAAGACCTCTGAAGAAGACTCTCATCATCATCAAATACCAAAGTGTTCAAAAGATACTATACTACTACTACTACTACGCTGCTTCTGATAGATATTTTGACAAAAGAAATTTGAGGGAAACCAAGTACTGAAGAAGACACCTATTTCAGTATCTAGGCTCAATCTGTCATATTACTTGATCTGCAAAGATGCTGTTCCTCATATTTAATAATAAAAAAACCCTTACAAATGCCGAAAAACATAATTTGATTAATATGGGTGTTTTGCTTACTAAGAAACCCTCTATTGTTTGATAGTATTTAATGGAGGAGTAATTAAATCTGTAATAGACAAACCTCCTCAGCCTATAATTACAAGTCAACTGCTACTTGGGCTTCTGTATAGAATTTCCACATGTCATCTCGCCAGAGCCACAATGAAGAATCTTAATTATATCCATAGAAAACTGCACATTGCATAACTTTCACAGTGCAAACCACAAAAATATAATGAAAAACTGAGTCTGATAGCAGCATGTATTAAATAAGAACTAGAAAGCCCTCACTGCTTTTATAGTGAGGCTGTGTCATAAAAGCTGCTCATGGTTTCCTACAGAAGCTGCTGCTGTGTGCTAGTATTGTTCAACAGAAAAGATGACACACCTTTATTGTGTGATCTGGAAAGACTGATTTTCCATTTTTTGGTGTCCATCTCTTGAGGTGCTATCTGCTCTGCTTCTATTTCACTACTTTTCTCTACATTATTAACTGCACTATTCTTAATCCCCTCATTTTGCATTATTCCATGTAAGCTTGTGCTTCTGCCATCATCAACAATCTTTTTTTTAGTCACACTTAGTGTTTCTGAGGTGTTGATTCCAAAAAGATCATCAGTGACTGTGGAGTTTCCACATTCAATCCAATTCTCATTTGTATCACAGGCTGAAACCAGTGGTCTGGTTTTCTGCTCCTCTGATTCTACATCATCATAGAGTTCTGGTGTGAAGTAGATACTCTCATCCTCATCTTCAGCTTCTGCAGATACATTGAACATTGAAAATTCAGATTTCCCTCCTGCTGAAAAAAAAAGCTCAGCCTGAGGGCGGAGCTCATCAGGACGCCCTTCAGCAACTGGAGCCTCAGTATTTTTAACTGAAAAATTAGTCATTTCTAAACACGATTCTGGTACGCCTGGTTTATGTTCTGAAATTAATGATGTCTGGCATTGATTTACACTATCAATAAGTTCGTTAGTCCTATTCATGTTCTTTTGTTTGCTACTGGCTGTGGACATGCAGTTCTTGGCCACAGGCAAAGGTGTTGAAGTCAGTGGTTTAATGCAGCAATGTTCTTTCTTAATATCAGAATTAGTCCAACCATTCTTTTCTTCTCTCTCTATTTTAGTCACTGGCAGTTTGGGTGTGGAGTCCATATGTTTTCTTCTTTGTGATACATGGTGAGAATGACCCTTTACATCAACTTTCTGGCCACCTGTGAAAGATCACAAAACATTAATTAATTGTATATGCCTTCCCCCTGCTGATTTACAGCATGTTTAGCACATCAAAATTACCACTGTTTTATTAGATTTACAGTTATTTTATAATACTCATTAAGATCCAATACAAACAAAAGCCCACATGTTACAACTATCTTTGCACATTAATTGTCTTAATTAAATCAATAAATTAAATGGCACATGTGAAGTTACAGTAAAGTATGACTGGATTTAAAATTTGCATTTTTTTTTAATTATTGGCTCTTATGTTATTTACATTCTTCTTGCCTAAAATGAAGTAATAATCTTAATTTAGACATGGATATTTACTTGTAAAGCTGCTGCCAGAAGAGATTATATGAAAGGTGTCTCACAACAATATCTAAATAACAGATGTAGCTTGAACCAAGGCATCATCTTGCGATAATACTAATCTTCATGTGTTTCAAATATATTTTAAATTATCTTTATAGTTTCCAATGGAAAAAGAAACATAAGGGAAAATATTTTAGTTTCTACTATAAATTTATCAAACATTATCAATTGTTTTAAGACAACCAGCTGGAATGACAACTGATTACAATCTGCTGAGCACAGCTCATACACCTTTGAGAATAAATATCATTTTGCACCATAGCACTTCTGCAATTTTAAAAACCATTTGTTTCTTCCCGAAAAGAAGCAACCTCACATTTAAAATTGTTCATGAAGTTTTTCCCACAGGAAATGAACATACTTTGTTTAATTGTTGCTGTGGTGTTACTTGGCTGATTTGATGCTGTAGGATTGCCAGTCAAGCTGATGGTTGTAGTAAAGTTAATTTCTGAAACCAAATTTTGCTCCTCACTTTTAGCAGCAACATCTGGTGACAGATGAAGAGTTGCCTCCCCTTGAGAGGCTTGTGACAGGTCTTTTGAATTTGAAGGTACATGGAGAGATTCAGTGCTGCACTCTGGTGAACAATCAATCCCTTTTTGGTTTCTTCTAGCAAATGCTTGCAAGGATTCAAGTGCGCTACCAAAATTTTCATGGTGCTGGATTTGTTGACGAATCCATTTAGATAATCCTAAGGGAAAAAAAAAAATGTGTTACCACAAAAAAAAGTGTGTTTTCATTCTGAGAGGGTCTGACAAAAATTAGAATAAAATGAAGCTTTTGCAACTTTAATTCAGATTAAGTAACAGTAACTCAGATATTCAGAAAGAATTACAACTGCCCAATAGCTAAAATATAATGCAATATGCTCCTATAGAGCAATAATTTTTAAAATTCTGAAATACCAGATGTCTTGAGCACAACAGCTTTTAGGTGATGTTGGAACACACTAGAGTAAAGTAAAACCTAACTTTCTTAATTTTTAAAAAGTGTTTTTAAACCCATTTAAATATTCTTTTAATATAAATTTAAAAAACCACCACAACTCAACTGAGAACTTTATTCTTCTGTGAATTTTTTTTTAGAAAAAGTACTAAATTTACCAAATCCTGAACATACAGATTATTTGCATTACTATATGTATTCTGTTTACTGAGATGATTTAGATGTATTTTTAGTCCAAACAGACATGTCAGAAAACGGTTTGACTTTTCCTACAGCAGCTGAGCTCCACCTGCTGACTAGACTGCAGCATTATCTGCTTACCTCATCTTTTTGCCCATCACTTCTAAACAGAGCAGGAACAAAGGTGTATAATGCATACCCAACTCGCTGATCCTTCTGGGTCCCTTCCAACTCACAACATTCTATGATTCTTTCTTAATTTTAAATGTTTATTTATTTATTAAGATAGTGTGCATGACCTGTTTCATTTCAAAAGAAATTAAACTGACTGAACACGGGTATCAGAGTGTTTCAGTGTCTTCAATGAACTAGTAATACACCAGGGTACAGGCTTAGAGTTTTCAGTTTCAACTGCACAATTGGAGTTCAATGGGTGTATTTCATTATGACTTTTCCTACTCATCTGTATTTAAATAACAATATTTCTAAAAAACCTGTTTTTTCACTCTTTGTTAATATTAGAGACTCTCCTAGAAAGATTTTTACAGCTTACCAGTTATGTACTTATTAGGGTTATTCCGGAAGCGGTCATCAACTAAAATAAGAGCACCCCAGTCATTCCTATGTCTTATACACCTACAAGTGAGCAACAAAAAAAAAGAGTGTACATATAATTAAGAGTGCATATAGCAAAAAACTGTGGGGATATTATTTATTTAGATTTTAAGTCTCTCCATGATAAGAAATGCTACCAAAACATCTTTCAGAAACAGATTTCTTCCAGCTTCTGATTTTTTTCACTGCTTTAATAAATGTTTTTTTAAGTCACAGCGTAAATGAATTAAGCCCACTGGAAACATACCCTACACCTTTAGAAAAAGTAGCACTGCAAGGAACTCGGAGCAGGATTGTCACCTGGCCGTACACACCATCTGTTATATTCCCAAAGGCTGCTATTTCATTTCATGGACTTGAGTTACTTCATACAATGTAACAGCACAAAATTGAGAGAAAAGTGCCAGATTGAAGACTAGAGTGCTTCTGCTCACTTCGATCCCTGCAGGCACCTTTGTAGGAAGCAGCTTTCCTACCTACCATGTAACTCAGTATTAGCTTAGTAGATTGTTCTGGTTTTATAAAGTCATCACATGCTGTCATCCTTCACCAAATCTCAGTTTAGTAAGAACTTAGTCTAATGCTATTATACACAATTTATACATTTATGTCAGAATGGAAGTCTATTTTCTCCACTTAAATTTAGACTAGAATAATTTAAATGATAAATTATACAATGAGCAATTATCACTAAAATTAGATTTACATTTAAACTTATTTCACAGTGACAAAACTTCAGATTGATTTCTTACTATTAGCATTCCACCACTTTCTTAGATTTTTCTTAACAAATTTTAACTAATCCTTTTACTCTCCAAAAAGGAATCTAAGAAATCAGACCTGTAACAAGAATTTACAAGGAAATTTTACTACGTAGCCTATTTTCTCTCCATTTTGTTTCTACATCTTCATTTACATAATCACATTTGTATTGGGTCTAATTCAAATAACAAGAGTCTTCCAGCTGATATTTCTCTTCTTATCTACAGATCTGTGTCTGTACCTCTATGACAGATGTATGGTATCTATGACAGGTAGCTATCTCTATGTGTATGATAAATTTTGTTGGAGAAGGATGAATTAATTCTATCCTGTTAATAAAATTTGGGGGATTTTTTTCATTTGAGAAAGTAAGCTATACCACTTCTTCTAAATCTGGAAAGAGATCAGTGAGCATGATAATTGAATTGACCTTTTGCAAAGGTCTGAGAAAAAAAATCCTGCTATTTCTCCCTTTCAAAAATACTTGTAGCCTAAACATCAAACATCTGCTCTGAGCCCACCAGGAGTATGAGCCATTAGTACATTTGAAAAGACCTAAGAATTTTCATTTCATTTATAAGCTCAAGAACTATTTGTCTCTACAAATGTTTTCCTTTTTCTGTATCTGGACTACAAGGAATAAAACCTGCAACCAAACTAAAGTAGATTCTGAACACAAAACAAAAACTCTAAATTATAACAATGCTCAACTGCACACCAGACTGAAAACCAGACAGTTGCCAGTACAGAACAGCTGAAGACCTGATTTCTGCAATATAAGTTTTTTGGCCTGATTTATCCCCTTTGTGTAAGGATTAATTCCTCATTGTTAAAAGATGTCACAAAAAAAAAAATAAAGTTCTATAAATATATATATTTTTAATTATGTTCAGTTTATCTCACCTTCCCAGGGCTTGGTTCAGAGCCCTGTAAGCTTGAATTTCATACCACTGACTCCCTGGTAAAAGGCCTCTTGTATTTTTGTGCTGGTCATTGTATTTCCTCTTTAATTCAACCTAAGAAAGAAATAATATAACATATGTTGCAAAGGAAATATTCTAACAGTAGAAAACAAGCAAACATTGATTAAATATGTGAATATGAAAAGGGTGCATCAGTGTTTCAACTTTGCATTTTGCTTACTAACCAATTGTGGCTTTTACCCTTCTCAAGTTATTCTTAAGATGTGATCTATGCCAGTAAGTTATATGTAATAACACAACAGCCACACACTTGTCCAAATCCCTGTGCTAGCAAGAGAAGGAAGGATAAGCTCTTCACACAGGAAAAAAACCCCAGATACAAGTAAATGGACTAACTAGACTGCAGTTTTATTTGCTCATCTGGAAGTAAAGGATACAATGGAGATCTTTAGCCTTTCCTTTATCACAAACCCCAACTCCTTATCTATTGCTGGGACCTCACTTTTCTCAAGTGAGGGTTAAGCAAACAAAGCTCCTCCTTCTACAGAAGCTAAGAAAGTACTTGAGAGACAGAGGGGCCACGCCAAAGCACCAGAAGTCAGCAACACCAACTCTAATTTGTAGCTTGGCATCATCTCCTGCGGTTTGGAAACAATCTTCTCACTGGCTAAGTGTAAAGCAAAGGTGGCAGCTGAGGTTTGCAGGCCCATGGGCTCCCCTTTTTAAATAATGCTCCCCCAGCAGCTTCAAAAGCAGAGCTGATATCAATTGCAAAAGAAATCCCCTGCTTCCCCTCTTCTGATCATACGGATAACTACACAAATAATGCTTGATCTGGATTTGAACAAGAATTTGTACTTGGACATTATACACAGTTCCAACATATATCAAAAGAATTTATTATTATTGCAAGGAGGGGACTGAATTTCATATTTTTAAAGTAAACAAACATAAAACTACACCAAAAAGGGTCTTTCCATTGCTCTTTTGCAGAGTATTAACCTTTCTAAACTGACAAGTGAAAGGACACGCTTCAGGAGAGAAAACAGTAGACTTCTAACCTCTTCTGACAGGTAACTTTCAAGTTGCATTTAGATAAGAATTTTTATTTTATGTACTTATGCCCTTTAAATTGCCTGTCAAATTTACAAATTCAATCTTTACAGCCAGCAAGTAAATTCAGTTTGATTTCACAGATTTAATATTTGTTCCAGTCACTCAGAATTTATTGACTGGCATGTGAGGTTTCCTTTGTCATTTTCAAAACAGAAGATGATTTCTTCTGAACATTTTATGAACATTAAAACCATTATTTAAAAAGGAACTTAAGCATATCTGTGCATTTCTAGGAAAGGAAATACTACCTGGAGTAACAAAAGGGTCCTCCTCACCATTTGAAATGAGGTATGACCTTGGAAAATTTCATTGAAGTCTTTAAAGCATAACAACAATATACTCCTGTACATACTTCACATTTATCTTCTAGTCCTGGTAAGTTTTCTAACAACTTCTTCTTTTGAAGAATTTGTTGTTTTCAGGAAGGTTTTGCCCAATTGTAACAAATGTAGCTTTACAACAGTTTCCTACTTGGCTAGCAGACCTTTCAAAACAGTATTAGAGTAACTAGTCACCTGTCTTACACTGACAAACAACATTTTAAAGTTATGTGCGTAAAAACACTGAAGTAACAGGAGAACGCAAACCAGTCAGACCATCTGCATTACCCTGTAAATAAAATACATTCCTTACACATTCTTCTAATACATGTTAGCATTATGCAAATACATACTGCTTGTATGGCACATCAATAACAACATTTCATTTCTGAAATTACATATAAATCAGAGAACGTGCTCTTGGTCTGAACATGTAGTGTATCTTTAAAACCTATATTTTCTCTCTCAATTAAAAAAGGGTTAACAGAAAATAAACATTTTGTTTTCTCACTTAAATGATCATGTCTCAGCATGAGATGACAACTCACATCGCTGAGAGTTCAGTTTTCATTATAAGCTTAGGAAAGGTAAAAGGCCAGGGCATGTCATTTTAATGCAATGAGAATCTATTTCATTGTATAACTCTTACATTATCAAGCATCAAATCAACGCCCAATTCAAAATGACATGTTCCATATGTGAAAAAGCCAGTCTCTCCTGCTAGCAAATATCCTAAATGTGCAGTAAACCACAGGCTAGAAGGGATTAGTTAAAATGTCAAAAGACAGCCTTTTACTTTTACCTGTTCATCCTTAAAAATATACTCTTAGCTATCAGGCATGCTTTACAGGCAAATGGCTTCAGCAAGCAGCAGCAGAAGGCCGGTGGCAAGCTCTGCCATCTTGTAGCTGTCAGACAGATTAGTCTTTGATCTATCTGGGAGGTCATGGGCACATTCACATTAACCGAAGTCTAACGACATTATACCTGCTAACCGCTTGTTCTTTTAATGCTTAATTGGTTCAACATCTTTCACTATGAAATATTAACTGAGAAATAGCAACAAAAAGTGAGTGCCATGAAAAAAAAATTAATTTATGACTTGGAAAAATATTTTGAGTCAGTTTCTGCTGCAATTCAAAGGAATTTTCAAGCATATTTTTCAATGAAAATTAGCAATACAAGTTTTTCTTTGACGATAACAACATTAAACAACAATCATTAGGTTTTAAGCGTTCGATAAACCACAGAAAAAAGTTACCTGTGGTAGCATAGTTTCTCCTTAAGAAACTCAGACGTATTCAGGACTCAAGTGATATATAAGAACATAAAGTGGATTTATACTGTGATGACCATGGACTATATCAATTAGCTTATGGCACAAAGCTCAGAGACTAGCTCAAGAACTAGAGCTTGTTTTTGAGCTCCAAAAGAACCTGCAAATTCAGATACAGAAGCCTGCAGCATGACTCTTAAGCAACACACCAGGCTTATTCAAACCAGATTTATTCAAAATTAACAGAAACATGGCTATATTTAACAATGAGGTATATAAATGTCAAACTATTATGAACTATTTGTTTCTACACAAAAATCAATGGTTGGGAAATAAAATAAAATCACCATTTTCTCCTTTAAATTGAGTTCTTTCCATTCTGTAAATATAAAGCTTCTTGTTTTGCAGTCATAATTACAGCTGAGATAAGGAAATGTGAAACACCATTTCAGTACATTTCAGATATCTTCAGCTAAAGGTCTGCCCAGCATCCTACATGCTAATTCACCTGTTAAGAAGTTTTAAGGAGAAAGCATTCAACCTACAAAGAATAAAACTACACAATTAATTACTGTTTTAAAATTTCACTTCAGTAAAAGCAAACAGATGGTGCAGCAGACACTCATCCAGAATCACTTTATCTCAGCCAAAGAACCTTAGACCTACAGAGCTAACAGCAAAGCCTAGCAGGACTGGAGAAGGTGCATTTGGGGCATTTACCAGTCCTAATCTGAATACTGTAAATCTATTTATCAGTGCCAGTACCACGATATGAAGGCTGAATGTGCTAAGCCACAGTATGCAATTTTTTATTTTGGGCTATTTAAATCAGCAAAATAAACTGTGTTTGGTTTTACTTCATCTGGTAAAGTTCTGAGATTTTTTTTAGATGCATTACTGAACCAAATGTAGTGCTGTACTTTGCTTTCTAAAAACAAACCAAAAAATCCTAAGCTGTTACTAATAGCTAACAAGCCAGGTCTTTTTCTTGACAAGACATCACTTCACAAACATCTTCAACTGCCTCCTCTTTTCTCTGGTAGATTAAAAATGATCTCCAGTTTGTAACCTGTGGGATTACAAACCAGATTACCCAGAAGTCTAAAGACAAGACAAATTCATGAATACAATAGCGCTATTGTGAGCAGTTAAACAGAGGGCTCATCTAAACCTGCATTTCTCTTTACATCAGCACTTAGCAGTGTTGTGACAGCCCAGGTTAAAGAAAAAAGACAACTAATTAAAGGAAAAAGACAAATAAGCTTGGAACTGTGTCAATAAATGCACACGTGTAGGTAGGTACATGTATACACATGTATAAATTCATGTCCTTCACTCCTCAACACCCTCCTCCATCTATCCTCCATGGAAATAAAAATCAGAAAATGGATATAAATGGTTTTGGGCATTCTGCTGACTTGTTTCTCTGGTTTTATGAGAGGAAAAATAGTAATGAAAACAAAGACCATTGCTCATATCATCCAAAAAAATCTAAAAGACACGTTCACGTTTAACATCTGCTAATTCCCCACCTCCTAAAAACAAACAAGCAAAAAGTACCAGGTGGTCATTCCCTGCTTCCACTGCAAAAAGACATAAAAATGGTTTTTAAGCAAATCTACCATCCTAAAAATCTCCTGTGTCCAGTTAGAGTCTCTCTTCCACCTGAAATAGCAATAATTAGAATTCTTCAAGAACATACTTGCCATCTACTTTCCTCCTGACGAATGCCAAGTAATCATAAAAGTTTGTAAGTGCAGGAAAGTAAAGGACATGAAAACCCATTTCTTTTCTTTTACATCTGAAAACCCTTAAATGGAAGTAGCATTAAACAGTGCAGCATTTAACTTTTCCCTCCTCACTTCAAAAGCACTAACAACGTCTGTGAGATTTAAGACTAAATAATGCACGTGTAAAGACCTGGGTGAGTCACAGAATGTGCTTCAAACATCCTCACTCCTCAGCAGATCCACTAAAGCTGTACCTAAACACAGTGTTTCAATTCATTAGCACACAGGAAAAAGATACTATGGCAGGACGTTATCTTTAAATGCTCCAAGTATTCCAAGTGCAGTGTTAATATATATTTAAGAGTATGAAATAAGCTAATTCTTATTACCTCTAATTTATCAAATGAGATTCTGTATATGACAATAACTTAAGGCCACTCTAGCCATCTCATATACCTGAAGATGGTCACCAAAACATAACACTCGCTTCTGCTTTCACACATAAATACTTTATTTCTTTAAAAAAACAACAAAACCCCCAAACCATGAGCACAGCAATACCATGTATATTGTGAATAAGACATTATCAGCTAGTGACACGATCAATACTGTGCACTGCTCAATTATCTTGAAGAAGCTTTGTTACACAGC